CACATTCGGGAAAAGGGAAGGGTATTGTAGTTACGACATAAGGAACATATCCGATATCATCTGTGAAACGGTTATTCCATAACGGTCAACCAACTCGTGATGGCGTCCGTAAAATTTACGAAGGGATGATTTCAACTTCACCATTTGGAACTCTTGGTTTAATAGCTTCCTTGTGAGCAGCAATCCTCTATCAAGGAAATCATGATAGGAAATACAAGCCCGGGAATATCGTATCAATTGGGAGATATATACTCCGTATGCAGGCGCTGCTTGAATGTTGCTACATATATTGGAAAGTTCACAATTGGGAAGCTGAAATCATCTCTTTTGTAAGTCAAGTTATGAGGCAGACTTAACTGTATCTGTAGTATCCTTTATCTCTGGTTCGATAGGATAGATTCGTTCAACATAGTCACCAAATTTTGTACTATTTAGTGAGAGAACATCATCTATATAGCGGAACGTAAAGTTAAAGGATATTGCTAACTTCTTATCTTTCTTCCTAAGAAGTTCCTGTATGAAGTCAGCCTCATAATAATAAATAATAAAGAAACAAGTCGGCAAGAAGAGGGGCACCATTTGTTCCCATAGGAATTCATACAGTCTGTTGAAAAACACGTCCTCCAAACGTAACAAATATGTTGTCAATCAAGAAATCACGCATCTTGATAATGTCAGTTTGATTCTTTACAAAGTAGGATTTATCCCTCCCCAAGACAAGATACTTGTATCTACGTTCGCCATTCTTTTTAATGAAACAAAGTTATACCAACTCTTTCAATTTGTCTTTTTAGTTTGGAATGGGGAATACTTGTGTAAAGTGTAGAAAAGTCAAATGTTTTAATACTATTGCAAGATGAGAGAGTCTTAGATTGTATGTACTCTAAAAGATCTTTGGAATTTTTTAGTATCCACATCTGATTCACGCCACCTCTAGAATAGGCAGTTTCACAATAACTTTGGAGCCCAGCTTTGATTGCTGATAAAATAGATGTTAATAATTTAGAAAGAGGTTTCGTGGAGCACTTGGAAGACCCAGCAATATATAAAAGAACTAGTGCAAATTGATTGATTTATTGTGATAAAGATATGTTACATTTGTCTAGCCAATCCGATAACATCTTATTGCAGTTATTGCTTCTAAAATGATTTATTTAAAGGTAAATTGATTATTACTTAAGATTGGTACATGATAAAGCCATTAGGTCTTTTGTAAAATGTTGGTTGACATATGACCTTTAAAAGTATGAACCGGAAGTGACCTTGAGTGAACCAGAAGTAGTCATGTTTGCACTTATTTCATGGATAAGTACCTAGAAACAATATATTATTTAAATGGGCATACATAAACTTACATTTGAGACCGGAAGTGACATTCTTTAACCGGAAGTAAAAAAATATCTCCCCTATTACAGGCATAAGTATATAAAACTATATATTTTCGGGATCACTGTGAATAAAGCTATCAAATTAGACCGGAAGTGACATTTTCTAAACTTGAAGCTGACAATTTTGTATCTTTTAACAGTCAAAAATATATATAAACCATATATTTTTGGAATAAGTGTAAATACAGCTATCATATGAGACAGGAAATGACATTTTCTAAACCGGAAGTTGGTTTTATTTTAAACAAAACCCAAACCCTAACCTTGACCCTAAAAGTAGAAACAATATATATTTATTGAATTAGTATGACGAAACCTATGATCCGACGCCAAAAGAAACTTTGATTAAACCACAAGTAGTTTCTTATCAATTATTTAGAAAATTGATGTGGAAAGACCTTCAATTGTTCTCTGAATAATTGGTTTTTAATTATTATTGTTATTATTATTATTTTTTTTTCTTCCACGAAACCATTTTCTTGCGGTATAAAGTTGTTTTGCAAGATGTCCCTTAGATATTTTTGATATTATATCGAACAGTTAATGCGCTTCTAAAACTCATCATGTTAAGCCAAAGACTTTTTTTATTGTAAGAGTTATCTCCCCAAATAATATTTTTCTTGTAAGTGTATCTCCTCCGTAACCAAAAAAGATAACGACAAAATTCTTTTTCATATTTGTTCATTACATCTTAAGGAATTTTTGGCTGATTTGGATCGAAGCGATTCGGTTGCAATCTTATAGGAGTTATCTACCTTTACCAAATAATTTTGTCGTTATGTTATTGTAACTCAAAAACCGTAAGTCGTATTAACCTAGAATCCTTTTGAGGTCCTTGGGTCCTAACTTATAAAATGAGGTCAAGGTCAAAGGTCAAGGTCATGTTCTGAATTTGTCTTTTACTTGTTTTTGCATTTTGTCTAATACTTTTAAAGTTATATGTAAAAGAACTAATACAAACTGTTTGCTTTATTGTGATGAAGATATGATACATTTGGTCCGAAACAATCGAAGGACAACGTATAGGAGTTATTGCCCCATAAATGTTTTATTTTAAGGTAAATTGATTATTACCTCAGATTGGTACACGATAAAAACCATAAGGTCTTTTGGAAAATGTTGGGTGACATATGACCTTGAAAAATGTCAACCGGAAGTGACATTGCCTGAATCGGAAGTAAGCATTTTTGCACTTATTTCATGAAAAAGTACCTGAATCCATATATTTTTTTAAATGGGCATACATAATCCTATCATTTGAGACCTAGAGTGACATTCTATAACCGGAAGTAGCAAATTATATTCCTTATTACAGGCATAGGTATAAGCAATCTATATATTTTTGGAATCAGTGCGGATAAAGCTATCATATGAGACCAGAAGTGACATTTTCTAAACCGGAAGTAGCCAATTTTCTCCCTTTTTACAGGCAAAAGTATATATAAACAATATATTTTTGGAATCAGTGTAAATACAGCTATCATATGAGACCGGAAGAGACATTTTCTTAAACAGAAGTTGGCAATTAACTCCCTTATTTCAGGCAAAAGTATATATAAACCATATATTCATTGAATCAGTATGAAGAAACCTATGATTGGACACCAAAAATAACTTTGAGTAAACCGGAAGTAGCTTCTTATTAACATTTAATAAAATTGATGTGGAAAGACCTTCAATTGTTCTCTGAACAATTGGTTTTAAATTTTTCATTTGAATTTATTGCACACCGTTAAACGCAAATAATGAATTCGAGAATATTTTGCCATTACTTAAAGCCAACACCACAAATCAAACTAGATAAACAGTATATAAAAGTATGGATGAATCATTTACTGTTGATTCGACATTTGATTAACATTTTGGAAGTTAAAATTGATCTTGAATCTTAAAAATTATCTTGGAAAATATATTTAATTGTGGAACATTTTTTGTTTGTTTTGTAGAAAGATGAATATTCACTGTCCAACAATAACCAAGAACAGGAAGGATGCTCCAAATCAGTTAAAGCTAGTGGTCATCCAGTCGTTATCATGCAAAATTTTGTAGCAGAGTTCTGGAAGAAACACAAATCTTTGATCAAATCTATTATTTTCTTTATCCTTTTTTGTCTGTACTGTTGGTATTTGGTGACAGCTATGCTACACGAATTTGGAACAGAATCAGCCTACCGTCTTCTTGTTGGGTCAATTATCACAATGCTGTTCATTTTATTAAAAAAAGTGCTGTCGAAATATCCAGTTAACTTCAAATGTTTTAAACATAGCGCTTGGAAGCGTATTTCCCCGTGGTAAGATAAATTACATACGATATGTTTCAGTTAAAACAACGTTCAGATTTGATCAAATTTTCAAAACTGATGCAATCACGTGCACAGAAAAGACCAGAACTAATGCGTCTTATCTTTATTAAGAAACAAGCCAAGAATATAAGAAATCGTTACAAAAGTCTATTGTTAATATTTAAGGAATATATATATCTAATGGTATTTAAAGCGGAAGGTTTGGCTAGCCATTAAACCAGGTTCAACCCACCATGTTTTCTTAAAATGTCCTGTACCAAGTCAGGATTATGGCAGTTGTTATCAAATAGTTCGTTTCTATGTATATTGGCGTTTGTTTTTGTTACACTTCAGTGTTCCTCTTGTTCCTTTGTTTTCCTCTAATAGTTGATGTGTTTCCCTCGGTTTTAGTTTGTAACCCGGATTTGTTTTCTCTCAATCGATTTATGACTTTTGAACACCGGTATACTACTGTTGCCTTTATTAATGCACAATTTGGCATGATTTTGGGATGATGTCTAAACTGTAGTCTACTGTCATAGTGTTAACAATCTTTATTTTTGATATTCACATGTCACAATTGTTAAAACAAATACATCCCCATTTTATAGTATTCTTATGAATTACCCCAAAAAATTGAATACTGATAATAATGTTTCCATAATAAAAAAAAACATAGAAACAATCACAAACATTTCCTTAAAACCCAGATAATTATAACCAAATGAAAATTCTACTAATGATTCAAGGTCAACTTACCCCTATCTTGAGCTCCTGTCTTTGATCCAAGACCGATTTTCCATTTTTTGACGATATGATTCATTTTGTTGTATAGCCTAATTTGAATGTTCGTTCTTTTTATGACGAAAACGAGAATACAATGTCATATCCATGAAAATCCAAATGAGTTAGCAAAACATGACTTAGTCAGCTGTACTTTCAATTTCCATATTGAAAGACATTGCATTTTCGGTACAGCAAAAGTAGTAATTAACATTTCCGGAAACAATCGTGCTAACGTAAGTAAGGAATAGTGCTACCTTTATGTTTAGTAAAATGACAGGACAAGCATGTCCATTGAATTCCTCAAAGTACATATCAATTAAAACGTCAATATAGAAATGAAAAAATGTGGAATGATTGACAATGAGACAACATTCCACCAGAGGCCAAATGATATTTAAGTTAACAACTATATTTCACGATATGTCCTACAACATTGAGCAAATCCCATACAGCAAGCTTATTGGCAATAGAGTGTAGCTGTTTCTTAAATCTTTTTTTCTTTTCTTTTGTTTTGTTTTCTTAGAGTATATTTTTTCCTTCAACAGGGTCAAGAAAACAGTCATTGCAGGAATGATTATTTTTTCTGTATCCTACATTATCATTGAAATCGGCCTTACAGCACCAAAAAATTTGATTTCAATTGTTGGCATTGTAGTAATGGTGATTGGGGCGTATGGTTTTTCTAGATATCCGTCTGAAGTAAGTACTGAAACATTAATCTTCACAGGCATAGTATAAATGATATATTTATATGTAAAACAAATTTTCAATTCTGAAACTCCTATATATATGTTCGCCTTTATTCGACAATTACATTTCTGATGATGCCTAAAATACTGGGACACCTTTTGAACTTAAAACAATTAAGACTTAAACTGTTAAAGGATTGTTTTCAAAGTGTACGTCACGATTTTTGAAATTCCGTCCGAACATCAGCCTTAATGTAAAACAAACTCCCAAACATTTGAAAACAAAATTAAGCAATTTTGAGATAAAACCTGTTATACACGAAAAAAAGGTGTTTTCAAACATATTTCAGGTCAAACATTTATTTCTGATCATCCACAATTCAATTGTGTCATTAAAACGACCTTCTGCAAATACTGATCATTTTGTTTTTTATATTTGGATAACACATCAATTATTGTCAATATCAGGCAGACCATTATTTTATTAAGTACAAGAAAGGATATTCATAGTTTGAAAAGAAATATTCAAGCTAATTACAGTAAAATTATGTTTTTGAAGTAGGACTTCGAAGTCATGTCAAAATGCCAACAGTTGATAAAATCATCAACATGCATTTGAAAGCACTTGGTTCTCATTTGCATGATATCAACAAACAAAAAGCAATGCACATGTTTTTTTTTATTTAACATGTTAAGAAATGCAATATCGTTCAATAGTCGAATGAAAACTGTTTTCTCCTTAACGTTTTAAACCACAAAGGCATGTTTTTGTGTCAAAATAAATAAATAGATAATACATAATAAAAAAAAACTCATCATAAATTAACACTACAATTAAAATCTTGTAAGTCATTTTGTAAGGACATTATCGATGGTTGTTTTTATCAAATATAACAGAAGATTAGTTTTTATAGTAGAAAATATAATTAGAATCGGCCGTCCAAAACAAATACTTCAAGTCTACATAACGACCTATGACCCTTTATGAAACCCCGTGCGAAATAATTCCATAGGAAAGACATGTTATAAAAAGTAAAATAACAAAAATACCGAACTCCAAGGAAAATTCAAATAAGAAAGTACTTTATAAAATGGCAAAATCAAAAGCCCAAACACATCTAACGAATGGAAAACAGCTAGTACATAAATCTGTAGCTTTTTGTCTCACACGTCGATGACAACATGCGTTTGATCGAATGTACTCAAATGTTGTGTGTTTCCAAAAACAGTTGTTTCAAAAAGAAATGGAGAGTTCAACTGTGTATTTGTCTGGACCAATTCTTCTCTGACAATTAGCCGGAGGGTACCCAAATTGTACCTTTTTTTCGCAGTTTTTTAACCACGTTTATTTGTGAAACAGACAAAGGTTTCAATTCTGTGTTTATTTTGTAGATGTATCTTATTTACTATGCAATTCTACAAATTTCATTTTGAATTCATACTTAATCATAGAAAAATCGGATTGTTTTAGAACAATTTGTCCATACCATGTTTAGTATCAATTTTGTAAGAAATGGATGCCTGTGACGTATTTCAATTTAATGATTAAAGTGACACATTTGAGTATTACAGCATAATTGATGGCACAATTATGACACAGGCCTGTTCATAAAAAGTCTAATCACATAATTGATTTTTTCTGAACTAATCAAATTAGATAGAATATACAAAATATTTATGTTTAGCAATATTGTATGGTATTATATATCGCTAACAGTGATATTATAATTTAAGTAGCTGCTCATTTTTTTTTTGATATAAAGAAGAAATAAATGATAAAGTTGTCTCATAACCACATTCCTTTTTTTATATTAGTTACCAAGTATTATGATTATGTCTAAAGCTAATTATTGAAACCAAAAAAAAAAAATTTCTCATATCATCTGTCAGTTTATCCCATGCAATTGTCGACGCATTTTTCACATCATCTTCCCATCCATTGCTCATCCACTTTCTGCATTTGTTTGCCGAAAACTTCAATATTCTGACCCATAATTGCTATGTATAATATTTTCATCGTATTAGTTTTCAAGAACTACTAATTAAGACTTTATGATATTTGTATAAATCTTCATATGAGCATACGTTACCTTGTGATGTGTTTTATATCCATCGCTTATCAACTTCCTGTTTACAAAAATACTAATATATTGAGACAAACAATTGCCATATATACAGTTTTTATCGCAGATTTCTCTGGACTTCAAAGATGACTTTTCGTCTTTAATCCTAATTGACAAAGATCGCAAGCTTTCCGTCGGTCAATGATTTTATCCGGTTACTCAGGCTGCCTCCACCATTAAGCTTGTTCACTATGTTATAACCATTGTAATTGAAAGTCAGGTTAAACATTAATACAAAAATAAACTAACGCATAAGAGCTTCATATAATGTGGCATCAATCTACATATGAACACGGTTTACCATCTATACTTTACAATAGAATGATTCAATTTTATTTATGAGCATATATCTATTTTAAGGATGTTACTAGTATATCAATACATTGTTGACTCATCAACGTTTAGCCCGCGTATTTTCTTAGTCATAATATTTGATCTATGATGAGTTTACATAGTTAATAAGTTCATAAATCAATGTGTTCTATTGCAGGAAGACGATATGCAACATATGATTCAAAGCTAGTGTTTCTTTACAACGTTTGTGTGGTATTTTTAACATTGCCATATAAGCGGGATGTTTGATTAGCCAAACAACCAGGTTCAACCCACTATTTGTTCTTAAAATGTCCTGTACCAAGTCAGGAATATGGCAGTTGTTATCAAATAGTCCGTTTCTCTGTATGTTTGCGTTTGTATTTGTTGCAGTTCAGTGTTTCTGTTGTTGCATTGTTTTCCTCTTATGCTCATAGTTGATATGATTGTCTCGGTTTTAGTTTGCAGCCTGGGTTTGTTTTCGTTTAATCTATTGATGACTTTTGAACAGCGGTATACTACTGTCGCCTTTATTATACCCCACGCAACGAGTTGCGGAGGGTATAATGTTTTTGACCCGTCCGTCCGTCAGTCCGTCAGTCCGTCAGTCCGTCAGTCATGTTTCTTGTCATCGCAACTCCTCTCAAACCACACAACAGAATTTCACGAAACTAAGGTTCTTTAATTTGTATTTAAAAGTAAGTCATATGTTTTGGTTTTATTTGATATTTCGATATATAAGATGAAATTGATCATTTATTTAATTGTTTTAGGTTAAATGGAAACCAGTCTTGAATGGAATGTTTCTGCAATTTGTATTAGGAATAATTATTTTAAGATGGGACATTGGATACCAAATCACTTCTTGGTTAGGTGACAGATTTATAGAGTTCCTAGGACATTCAAATAATGGAGCAATTTTCGTATTTGGAGAAGCATATGAAAAACATCCATTTGCAATGAAGGTAACTTATTGATCAAATTTTTTTTTAATATCAAAACAAAGCTTTTGTTAAGGAATGTTATTAAAAATATAACAAATCTCTCACATTTAGATGATGAGTTGGAACGGACTTCAGTAAGCTTTATATACTACATGTATGTCGGAAAAATTTATTGAGTGAATATTTTAAATGAAACATAAACTTTAGCCCTATTGTGTTGCGTGGATAATATTTTCAATGACTATGTTTGAAATCTCCAAGTCTATAATCTTTCATTCAAGAGTAAGAAAAACATGTTTTCAACGTTATTTCGAGATTGTTATATTTGACTATGGAAATTAGATAACTTAGAAAAATCAGGTATCTTCTATCCATTCTGCAATTTCTTAAGAATCATTGCGAACAATTCAATCAGATGTGGATGATAAAGAGAAAAATCTATTTTCTACAAATAATTCAAATTATAATTTCGACGCTGTTGGTGGACTTGGTTTAGTTCTGATTCAATCTTTAGTATCATTACGATTGAGATGATGATGATGATGATGAATATTATAAGTGTTAGTTTTTTTTTATACAAAAGTGACATTATTATGGTAAAACACTTGGTATTATTTTACATTATTTCATTTGGATAATCTAATTGAATTACTCAAAGGCCGTTTTGTAGGCCTAAAGTAAATGCAGGTAAAACAGAAACCATATAGGTTAAAAACCTAACTAAAAACATTTGGAGGAGCCCATAAGTAAATTAAGGCGACAGAATAGGAAGGTTAACGATATCAAAATATCATCAATCGATTAAAAAGAGACAAATCAAGGTAAAAAACAAACAGCAAGAGAATCGCATGAGCTCTAAAAGGAGCGAGACCGTTTGTGTCAACGGTGTGGCGTCTACTGCTATAAATGAACCATCCACCATGCGAATTCACACTCAAAATGGCACTATTGGGAAAAGAACACAATCAGTACAATTACAGATCAGACCACTGAAACGGTATCCAAAGATCTAAGACTCTGTAAAGATGCCGCTAGTGAGTTTATCGTATGTTACCTCGATTTCAGTCGTTGTTCCATATAACTTGGTTCAACCAGTGTATGAGTAAGGAGCACACTCCTGTTAATAAACTCCGTATAGTGTAAACATGTACGAGCGTAACGTATTAACCGAGGATTGTAAACGGCACACGATGGAACAGAGATTATGCATCTGCTGATAGATGAGGAGTTTGAAATTGTCATGTTTGTCATAGGTTTTAGTTTAAATTCGTTCAGGGGTGTTAATATCGAGGAAAAGATCAAGATATGGAGCAGTAATTTTGTGCAAGTCATTTTGGTCCTTGTCCGGCATAATTAACCATCTTACTAGAAGTAGTTTAACATATCTAGGATTCCCATTTAGAACAAGACATTCATTTGTGTTATCTTTTAATTAGTTTTCATCTTGAAATGGTATACAATATGTGGCACGAGATATTTCCTTACCCAATGTTTAGATTTACGACCACATTTTGTTAATGTTCAACAGATAAAAAACTGACTAATTTTTATAATGTCTTCTGTGATATAATAGACATTTATGCTTGTGAGTAATAAAATAATACGTTTTTTAGAAATGAAATTGTGAAGTTATATCATGTGCGAAATGCACAACGAAATAAGTGTGTTCTCCGGTCAGGTGTAATTTGTGGAACATCTGGGCTCATCTCGGTCTTAGATGGGAATTTCGTTGTTCAAACGTTTCTTCTCTCTCTACTCTGAAAATTACAGTCTGCCAGCAGGCACGATATCGACTCTGCTTTTATTTTACCTTTAACTCCAATCTTCTATTACATGAATATCAATCGATGATGATAACAAGGAATACTGATTCCCAATACCGATTTTACAAGATATACATCAATATTAAAAGAAAATCTAGCCATTACTGATTTATTCTTTTTTACCCAATTTTGATATAAATTTTTCAAGAAATTAAAATATCATTGCATGGTTTTTAATTATAGAAAAAATATACATAAATTATTTAAGTTGCATAAAAAATACCGAATAGGTTTTGACGCAATCTGGAATGATGCCTGGTTTTTTTTCGGAAATAGCATATTGATCATGCGGAGGAGAAATGTGTATATGGTTTACACTAGCTTTGTTATTAAAATTTTTTTGAAAAACGAAATGTGTTGTAATCGCATTCATTCTCTATCAATAAATTACATAATGGGTAATTTTGAATCTTAAATCGTGTAATATTCAATGTGAAATGGTTTGTAGCGTATAACGGAATAGTGTATGGTTGAAATGGAATATGATGTTAGTGGAAAGTTAACATGACCCAATATCCGAAACAACCACAATGACAATTATCATACTAGAAAATGAGACTAAGAAACAGTTATCTGATAGTAAATCTGCTTGTATGGGTATCATATTAAATTTCGATTAATCTATAAGCATCTTAAACGCGATAAAAATAATGGGCAACTAGAAAGATATTAAAAAAGAGGGACGAAAGATACCAGAGGGACAGTCAAACTCATAGATCGAAAACAAACCGACAAGCCATGGCCAAAATAAAAAGATAAACAGACAAACAATAGTACAGTTGACACAACATAGAAAACCAAAGACTAAGCAACACGAATATTAAAGCATTAAAGAACATACAATCAACAACCATTTACTCCTTTAAGATTTTTTTCTCAATATGAATGACACCGATCTCAAAACTTTTTTATTTTAGGTTTTGCCAGTTATTATATTTGTTAGCAGTATGACCTCTATATTGTACTACCTAGGAGTGATGCAGTTTATTCTACGACACATCGCTACGTTTTTGTCGATCTCTCTTGGTACATCCCCAACTGAGTCGTTGAGTGCAGCAGCTAGTATATTCCTTGGACCGGTAATCTGCTGTTATTTAAGTTAATTATTCGACAATATTATCGGATTAACCTATTATGACTGTAAGATTATTGCTGACCGCGTTGTTAAACATAAACAAAACATTGCATACTGACAAAATCGCCTGTTATAAACTGATTTCCACTTAAAATGAAATTAAACCACTCATTTATAAACAGTGAGAAAACACATTGTCAAAATCGAACAAATATAAAAATAAGAAGATGTGGTATGATTGCTATTGAGACAACTCTCCACAAGAGACCAAATGACACAGGAATTATAACTTTAGGTCACCGTACGAGCAAAACCCATACAGCATAGTCAGGTATAAATGGCCCCAAAATAACAAATGTAAAACAATTCAAACAAGAAAACTAACGGCCTAATTTATGTACAAAATAATGAACGAAAAAAATATGTTACACAGCATCAAACGACAACCACTGAATTACTGGCTCCTGACTTGGGACAGGCACATACAAAATGTAACGTACTTAAGCTAGTCTGTTGGTGTAAAATCCTCCCCCTAACCTGGGACGGTGTTGCAACGGCACAATACAAGAACAAACTATGTAAAACAATAAACGAAAACCAAACAAAAACAAGTGAGAAACTGCAATAAACGACAACCACTCAATTACATGCTTCTGACTTGGGAAAGGCATATACAGAACGTGGCGGGGTTAAACTCTTTTCAAGGCGCCAATCCCTCTCCTAACCTTGGGTAGTGGTGTAACAGTACAACATAAGAAGAACAAACTATGAAAATCAGTTGAAAAAGGCTTAACTCACCCGATTTATACAAATAGAAATACATCTAACAAAAACACAGAGCACACAGTGGACGTGGCAGGGTACTTATACATTCCCATAACTAAAAGACACTACGTACAGATCTGAGAGTACTCGCAGATATTGACAGCTAGTTCAAAGCCCCCCCCCCCCCCCCAAAAAAAAAACAAAAAAACAAAACAAAACAAAAAAATAATAAAAAAATCTTGAATCTAAGACTACAATATCAATCAGTACACATCCAACATCCAATGGATTTAGTGTAAAGACTTCATTAACAGTCAGAGAAAAACATGACCTTGTGCAATGCCAAGATACAGGTATCGACAGATTGTAGAGCCATGAATGTGCATATGTATATACAAATAATGTTTTAATTTGATTTTAATTTACTGATAACAAAATCAATAATAACAATGTTCAAAGATCTAATTACAATGTTGAATTTATAACCTTTAAGAATAAGTTTATTCAAAAGATCGATAAGTTTAACCGGATAGTTTCAAAATTTCTGGGCTCGGTAAACAAAATCTCCGTACAATAAGGATGTGCTATCCCGTTTGAAATAAGTTTTCTACAGGTGCAACCAAACTTCAAAACCAAATCTTTATATCCATGTTAGCATTTAAAGGTTTTAATAATTTGTGGTAACGAAATCCCTGACTTAATAATTTACCAGTAATACATAGATTACGTTCATTAAATCCAAAACATAACAACAGACACGGGCATAGCGAACGAGTTGTGATATATAAACACCGTAAGATGGTGCCAAAGGAGCATCACCGTCCAAAAAAGGAAAATTAACAATAAGGAATACAAAAATTGTCCCTTCTGTCGTAAATGTTAGTCTAGAGTTTCCTGTGTAAATCTGAAAAATCTTAATTTGGAAAGGGCAGTTATTACCATGTATATTTGATTTATTTAAGGTTGATTTAAAGGGGCATTGGTTGTCAATTTCATGTTCATCGATTTGACTCAAATTCTCAAATGTGATTTAAAACGTGCTAAAACGTATATTCTAATAACAAAAAGACTTTATTAAATGATAAACAATGCATGGGCTCGATAATATGTATCAGCATTTCGTGTGTATTTGAGTCTAGATGACATCTAATTAACCGTCGAGATGACCTCCGAAGACTGCCAACCGTCCGATGTAAACATAATTATAAATATAAATAGATATCCAACACGTGCAAGATTTTTCTAGATCTGCTTGATTTAATGTTATAGGTTAAAAATATGTGAATCATCGTTTTTACCTGTGTAAGAATGTTTTCACAGGTAAATTTCTAAAAATAGAATATAAAATTTGGATTAAGTTTGTAATGGTGTTATTTTTTGTATTTTCTAATCATCACAATAATATTAAATTGTACTTGTGTTTGTAATGGTGTTATTATTTGTATTCTAACCATAGTTTTTCTTCTAAATCAAAACTGTGTATAAACAAAATAAATCATATGCATATAGTTGCTTTAAACTAAAAATCATATAAATGAAAAAGCTGATTAATTATCTTAACTTTTACATACATATAGAAAATAAAGATTAAATAACTATAATATAAGGCAAGATCAAGTAAGAACAAACAGTAAACACACTTGAAAACAAACAACATAAAACCAAAACACTGTAGACAAACCACTAGTAACACGACTATACTGACAAATAAGACACATGCAAAATGTACCGAAAATACAGAATTCAAACCACAAACGATAAGACAATATCTAACAGACTTACAAAAGAAACATCAGAACTAAATACACGAATGTTGGATGTATAAATACCGAAAGACGTCATATAGCAATGCAAATTCACACTCGGCAAAGCAGTCATATTCGGAAATATAGGAGTACAAAAACAAATCGGCCAGTAAGGATGCACAACTAGTACCCATTGGAATACTGACTGTCTGTTGAAATATCAATCCTCCAAACTCAACAAATATATTATCGATCAAAATGTTCTTCTCCTTTTTATTCAGATTTAGATATTTAAAAAGGGCAGAAATAATTTTTGTTTGGTTTGAAATACAACACGGAAATTTATTCCCACTCGAATTTGTTAACTTTAAACAACAAAATGCATGTAATACTGAACATATTATTCTTATTACTTTATAAGTGGTATACACATACTTATTGAAATCCAATATTTGGATGAAAATTTGTAAAGTTTTGTTAAAGAATTGATGATTTTAGTTTTTATAAACATAAGGAGATGTGGTATGAGACAAATATCCTCAAATTTTCAAATGAAAATGATGTAAGCAATTTTGGGCAACCGTACGGCCTTCAACAATGAGAAATACCCATACCGTATAGTCGGCTATAAAAGACCCCGACATATAAATATGAAACAATTCAATTGGAAAACTAACGGCCTAATTTATAATAAAAAAATTTACGAAAAAGAAATATGACAGACATGAACAAAAACCAACCATTAAACTCCAGGCTCCTGACTCGGGACAGGCACACTAAGCATGTGGCGGTGTTAAACCTGTTTGTGAGCGTTGAATCCTTTGTTCATATTATAGGATTAACTTCTTGTATAGTTTGTGAACTAACGTTAAAGACAATTATATTATCAATAAAAAGTACCACAGTTTTTTCTTCTATTGTTATTTATTCTCATCATTCTGGAGCTAGGCGAAAACGATGGGAAAGAGCTGTGGGGTAGGGGCTTGGTTTATAGTTACATTTTACAACGACTTCAACCTCGTACAAACGACAGAAATGTCATCGACATTTTAATGAAATGTATGCAGTTTTCGCTGTTGTTCATATATTGGTTGATATAATACGTAAAACACTGGGAAAAAAATTCGGGTAATCAAATTGACCACAGAATGACGATTACAAATTATAAACAGACTGAGTAAAGTTTGAATAGGCATTTTATTTGTTATTTTATGAATAGTTATTGTGGTTTGCAGTCTTTCTTCAAGAATAAGGCAATCTGCGTCTCATTACGTTTGTAGTGCTCACTTGTTACGTTGTCTAATTTCACTATTTCTTTCTTAATTCTTTTGATTCTTATTGTAAATTTTCTTGACGACAGTAATGCAGATTTGAGGGTGCCTATTTTGCCCTTCGGTTTTATCAATTGACTCTGGAATTCACTGTTGTTCTTGTTGTAATGCTAAACCATATTGTCAGATACTCAATACTATTGCAAAAACAAAATGAATAGAGAAACTTCAAAAATGTTTACAAATGACTGTCAACGAATTATAATCTAATCTATAAACGGATTTCGTTTCTTTGTTACTGAACATAAATGGACTCATTATGATAGTTTAGACATATTTTATTGTTCAAAATGACAAATGGATTAGACACAAGATTTACAACTTAGTAACGTCTTTTCATTATGATGCCTTTGAAATAAAATTTCTGTTATTAAGAAATACTATATTGCAACTTTTCTAGACGGAGGCACCATTGTTAATCAAGCCATATATTGAAAGTCTAACAATGTCTGAGCTATTCGCCGTTTGTACAGGGGGATTTGCTACCATTGCAGGAGGCGTGATGGCTGCCTACATTATTTTTGGGGTGAGTATGTTCTTAAAATATCAACAAAGTTGCAAACATTATACATGGTTTTAATGTCATGTAGCTTGCAAATAAGAATAAAGCTTTATAAATATTTTGTGTCTGAAACACTTTTCTGATTCCGTCAACATCCAGTTGGCTAGGATCCAAAAAAAAAAATGAAAGCAGTATAACTACTTCATTACGTAAGGAGCTTCTCAAGAAATAGTAATAAAAGTATAGGCAAAACCATATAATGTCAATTATGCCTAAGGGAGTTTAAATCTTGTTTCGTATTATTTCATCAATCATCGGAAAGTTTGTTAAAGATATGTTTTGAATAATGTCATAACCGAAGAACTACTGAGCCGATGATGAGCTAGCTGAAAAGCATTTCACCAGCAGCCACATTGACGCATAGCTTGAAAATGAAAATGACTCTTTACAAATTGTATGCAGTCCGTAGCGCTTTTCTGTATCTACCTTCATTATGATCGCTTTTAAACAAAACGAAGTATGAGAGCCAGGTATGTATAACTATAAAATACCTATGCAGCTTATGAACAGAGGGGTTATATCAAGTCAATCTACCTGAGAAAGTTGTAACCCTTGTTCACCAGCAGCGGTATTGACGCATATCTTGAAAACGAAAATCACTCTATGCAAATTGTATGCAGTCCGTACCTTTTTTTTGTATCTATCTTCATTAAGATGTCTTAAAAACAAAACGAAATATGAGAGCCAGGTATGTATAGCTATCAAATTCGCAAGCAGCTTATGACCAGAGGCGTTATATAAAGTCAATCTACCTGAGAAAGTTGTAACCCTAGTTTCTAATGACTTCTGTATCAAAGGATACATAAAGAAAGGCAAAGTTCCCAATCACTGACTACCGATCGCTAGTTGGTGATTTCTGTAGGGACAAGAAGTCTACAAGCAGCGCCATCGATCAAATGCCTTAAAAAAAACCTTTAACTTTATTCCCAAACTTTAAGAGTAACAGACTTTCGTTTATGTGTATTGTCCGGCTGGAAACATTGTCAATCTATCAATTGTATCCTGTATTGCAACGTTAACATGTTAGAAAGTTGGCATCTATATGATATAGTATAATTACGGTCAGTAGTTGTAAGTTTATGTCGATAGACAAACAAAACTTACGGTATGAGTTTTGCTCAATGTCGAAGGCCGTGCCTTAGCCTACAGTTGCGTACAACTTCTTCAATGAGAACTGGTTGCTAATTAACACAGTGGTGTTCATACGATATCTCCTTACTTTTATATTGTAAAAAAAATGTTTTTACCGTAGTGTTTTTTTTTTTATTCCCTCAATTTGCCAACTCTTTGATCTTAAGCAAAACGATCACCGAAGATTTGAAAATCTTTGTTAACTGGTACATATAGATAAGAACACGTTAGAATACTTTGCTAGAATTCACCCTTTTCTCATTATCTTTTATCTCCTCCAAGTATAAAATAATTCCCAAGTAACTGTTTATTTGAGATAAGACTTGACACATTTTACAGGACTGAGGTCTGTTGTTCAACTTGTCGTTAAACTAATCATATGATTAACTTTAACGAGTCGTTAAAAGTTAATCGCATGATTAGTAAATACAATGACTAAATTTTGTTGTTCAACTTATTTTAATCATTGTATTAGTTAATCACTATATTAACTTTTAATCATATGATTAATGTTCGGTAATATGCAAGTGTTTCCCACAATGCAATGTAAAACAGGGTCCATCACTTCCTTTTCTGCATTGAAATATAGACTTCTTCTTTTTAGCTTGTTTTTGGGTGCCAAATATGATTTAATATAATTTCTTTAAACATGTTAACATTTTAAATTAATCAAAACTGGATATTTTATTTGAAATGTGAAATGTACTGGAAATATAAATAATTTCAGTAAATGCAGAATGTAAAATGCATTCTATTTAATAACAAATGCGTTAGAGTACATTTTGCAATAATAAATATTTGCATGTTCATTTGTTTATTCACAAATCTTGTTTATATCTGAAATGATGGGATGAGCTTGTCGAGAAAAAAACAACATAGATTGATCTTCTATTTCTAAATTGCATTGAATGAGCAACTTGAAATTTTGTTTCTATAAAAAAAAGTTTCAATCGTTGTTCAAACTAGTTTTACGCTGCATGTGGCTGTTCCAACTCGGATACATTGTCAGTGTTTGTAATCGGTCCTCTCTTTAAAATGTTGGATGCATATACATGTATCCTAGCTTCATTTTACCGTCATGGCCATGATCTTCGTGGAATTTGATGTCACAGTTATAGCAAATAACTTGAAGTCTTTGTTAAATATATATACATATGATAATGATTCCTCCAAAAACCTGTTATTTCTGTTGTTTATTTAGTACAACTATCTACAGATACACGTTTTTTGTTTGTTTTATAAATGACGAAATCATCGTTAAGGTAAATCCGTGGAATTTTAAACTCTGTTGACGCGTTGGTGAAGGGTGCTTTCTTTCAAGGCCGCATTTCATCATGCATGGCATACCAAGTTAACATTTTAGATAATAATAACGGTTGGTGAAAATGAAAATTACAGAACTGTGACCGAAAACAAACATTAAAATTCATACGGCATTAAAAGACACCATGTGAAAATTTTAAATATTCAATTTTGTAATGTAATGTTTTTTTTTAAACTGAAATAACGGCTTGTTCGTTACATTTATTAACAATACTCTGAACAAATGTTATTTTTTGCAAATCAAAAACAATAATAAAAATCAATGAAAATATCCGACAGTATGATATATCTTGGGTATCAGATATTCACGGGTGCATACTAGTAAATATAAAAATAAGAAGATGTAGTATGACTGCCAATGAGACAACTCCCCAACGGAGACTAAATGATGTAGAAGTTTAGGAACAGTAGGCCACCGTACGGCCTTCAATAGCGAGCAAAACCCATATCATGCCAATAAATCCTTGCTCAAACCTCCTACGGCACCCATAAATAGTTAAATATTTGATTTCAACCAATTAATTTATGACCTGCATGTACTTGTCGCTTAAAACACGGCCATGTACCAAATGGTCAATATTAATCATCCGTGTAATTTGCCCTGCTGGATGTTTGAAAAATTTCAACGAAGGAAATTTCTCGGCATGCGAAGAATGAGCTATAAAAGGCATAGAAATGACAAATGTTAAACAATTCAAACTAGAAAACTAAAGTCCTTATAAGTGTACAAAACAATGAACGAAATATAATTATGATATATAGCAACAAACGACAACCACTGAATTACAGGTTCCTGACTTGGGACAGGCACATACAAAAAGATTATATACAAGTAGCAGATGTTTATTTGGTCCTTTTTTGTGGTCTCCTTTACAATTGGGCGAGATTATAGTACAAACGACCAACAAAGATGGCTGTTTACTATGAACTGAATAACTATATATATATATGGATTATGTTTATTATTCTATTTGTTTGGCAAAACATGCAGCTTCTTGTTTGAAATACATTCTCTAAATTGTTCTCCGTCATAAATATGCATGAAATATTTGCCACTAGACGTTCAGCAAACTACAATCAATAAATCATATATCCTCTAAAATCACAGTACTGTAATGACTTTAAACAATTAAAAATAAACTAATAAAATATTCCTTTAACCCTTGGAGCAGTTGTATATACGTCTCTTATTTATTCAACATGTTCAAATTTCAGAAACAAAAGAAAGAAAAAAAAAAATACGAATAATGAATATCAAACACATCGTGTTACTGCATGGGTTGTTTGTCTTATGCTGATGATGATGTATGGTTGTATAACTTCCTGCACGACAAATTAGACGCATATTTAGGACCAGAACATGCTAGTGCGTTATGAATATTAACTCTGCTTTGTACTAGACCGACTGGCTGAACCAGATTTTTAACGTGCTAATTCACAAGACAACAGTCCGTAGAAAGACATTTTACCCTCCTCAGACATATTATCTTCACTACGAGCCAACCAGTTTTTCCTTTTACCCATTAATGCCTCTTGATTAGCGGACTCATCAAATACCAATTTTAAAGTCTTTGGTTTGATCTTGCTGGGGTTTCAACCCACGACCTGCCGTACTCGAGACCACCGAGGCAGTGTTTATTTGTCTCATGACTTTTGTGCTGGGTGGAAAAATGCCTAGCAAAGAAACCCTGTGCGCCAAAATATGCATGTCATCTTAAAAGATGAATATTTAATATTCGCAAGTGAATTAAATCCGATGAGTGTGATTATTAGTGTTTTATATCTCAGCCTTAGAAAATAATGCTTTACATGTAAACTCAAATAAAAGTGTCTTTTTATTCTTGGCTGTATATTTATGCATATTTATTAAGTGGTTTTCTTACATGTTTTTCTCGCTTACTCCAAAATCTGTAGTGTTATTGTAATTTGTTGTAAATTTAAATCGTATACATTGTAGTTCGTGTTCACTAAAACACTAATCAATTGAATGATTAATAAATTTTAACGACTCGTTAGCATTAACAACAAGTTGAACAATAGACCCCTGATGAAATATTTCCACTTTTCAATCTTTGAATAAGGAAATATAATGACAGTCATTAGAAAAGAAATAATCGATAAGTCTAAAAAATGACATATATAGTAAACGTGACGACTTATTTGTTATTTTGGACTTTTAAGATAATGTTACGACGATCAAAATCACCGTTTAAAACTAAAATTCATTTACTACTGCTAAAAGCACATCTGTTTAATCATTTTTTAACAGAGGATTCTGTGTGATCACAATGAACTGTAATAATGCTGACATGACAATAGACTTATTAATGTTCTGAAAACAATCAATTGTGTATGTTATAGACATTGCCTTTCTTAAATCATTTTACGAAGTATATCACTGTCACTCATCGTTATGTTTGAAATATATCTTTTTGCTTTGAAAGTGGTTGCATTAATCAACTGTAGTTGTTTTATTCTAGATACAGTTGTTTATATATGATGTAATGAAAAAAGACCTTTGAGAGGTTGTGTTTGTTCTTAAATCATGTTTATGTTTTAATGAACAAAACATGTTTTTGTTCAGTGTATGTTCACTGGTGTTAATATGTCCTTTGATTGAGGTAAGCTATTTCAGTTGATATTTTATAGTGTGTCTTTCTATGTTGTGATGTTACACTTTTGTTTCAGAAAAAGGGTGAAGGTTTGGTACCATTAAAACGTTTAAACCCGCTGCATTTGTTTGCACCTGTCCTAAGTCAGGAATCTGATGTTCAGTAGTTGTCGTTTGTTGATGTGGTTCATAAGTGCTTCTCGTTTCTCGTTTTTTATATAGATTAGACCGTTGGTTTTCCCGTTTGAATGGTTTTACACTAGTAATTTTTGGGGCCCTTTATAGCTTACTGTTCGGTGTGAGCCAAGGCTCCGTGTTGAAGACCGTTCTGTGACCTATAATGGTTTACTTTTATAAATTTTGACTTGGATGGAGAGTTGTCTCATTGGCACTCATACCACATCTTCTTATATCTATTGATATCAGATACGTTTGATTCTCCAAACCTGGAAACTGGTATACTCTGGACTTGAAGTTAGCATTTTAATGATCCAAATTTATATATTGATTTGAAAATTTGCAAAGCTAATGACACAATTTTTCATCAGGCGGATCAAATTGGTAAAGCATTTTTGTTATCCGAAATATTTGTCGAATTTTGTAGTATTCGTTTTAAATTTGTTTTATAGTACAAATGTATTATTGATTTGCTTTTAAATATATATATCTTTATATAAAGCACTTGATTCTTGTTGCTGTAGGTACCTGCAAATCATTTATTAGCGGCTTCAGTGATGTCAGCACCAGCTGCTTTAGCCGTATCAAAACTCTTTTGGCCGGAAACAGAAAAAAGTAGGACCAGACGAAAAGACGTTTTTAACATGGAAAAAAGGTTATTAGAATAATATATGATTTATCTACATAATGCCAGAAAACAGAAATAGATATCACGTATTGGTGGAAATCTGTTTTTTAATCTCCAAAAAAAAAAAAAAAAAAAAAAAAAATGGTCGAACGTACTGAACTGTAAACCTTAAAAAGGAACTGTTTTTGTACATTAATACATATGATTCATGACAATTTTAGGGGGACATATGAAAAGAAAGTTTCAGAGAAATGAGAAATATAAAATGCTTTGTATTGTTATGAATATAAACATGTTAATCTAATTGCAATTCACTCGGAGATATATCTATGATAAGCTGAACCTTGTAAGCTCGAGACAAAACATTTTGGAATATACTGGAAAGCAAAAGACCTTGAAACAACCCAAAATGCATTAAAGTCGGATTAACTTATAAGACAGCATTCACTATAACAACCTGATTTCTTAACTAAAATTGTTACCAAAACAATATATACTTAACATGTACGCTATACCTATAGGGACGAAGAATTCACCAGAATCGTTTTTAATCATCGGTAGTGCTATAACTATGTCAGTATATATAGTACATACGAGTATCCATCAGCAGATACGCATAAAGTATGCAAAGCCTAAAATAATTGCGTTACGTTTCAGAGAAATATAAGTTGAAAAAGAAAGTAGCAATTTTCTACTCCTTTTCTAATAGAAAATATGTCACTTAAACATATAATATAATGATAATTGAAAAACAATATCAAAGATTAAAACCAACATTTGTTTTCGTAAAAAGAATAAATCATTCAGCAGAATTATATCAATATAGATTATTTGATAAAATATCTTCAGTCAAGGTCAAAAACCTGAAATTTTCTTGAACTCCCTAGTATTGTGGATACTAGTTTTGATATATAAAGACATTGTCATTGCATTGAAACGTTTTTTTTCTTATCAGACAGTTTATATTCAAATTTTAAATACTAGGTTTGCCTGAATATTTTAAATATTTCAAATTTGACTATTTAGAACAGAAACGTTTTCATAGCATGAGAAAACGGATTGGATATACTTATTTATTGATTTTTGACATAAAAGACAATCTCTGTCGTTCATTAAAAAAGACACAAAATTGTAATATTTCAATGAGTAATTGCCTCTTTCCGTACTGTCACGAAAAACAATGCAAACGAAAAGAAAATATTTGACATCAATATTAAATTTTGACCTCTGCAAATCTAAAATAAAGTGACTGAATATGAGAACAATTGCAATAGTTCGGGGAAAATATGAATTCGATCAGAAAAACATGTTTTCAAGACAAACAATTCAATAAAAGTAGATACACTTATAATAGATACCAGGTTTACTGGTTGGTACACCAGACGAGCGTTTCATCTAGAAAAGACTCATCAGTAACGCTCGAATCAAAAATGTTAAAATGGCCAAATAAAAAGACGATGTTGATTAGCAATGAGAACTCAAACTAATATCTCAGCCAGGATTTTTTAGGATGTTTTTTACACTATGCATCCGTATTGTGCGGAGAATACACGTCACCTGTATATAAAGCTTAACTTATATGTGTATTCAAATGCAATTACAAACATAACTAAACTTACTATGACGGGAAACGAGCTCAGATGTTCGTCGATGATTTATTCATTTCTACTTCCTTCAATCGGAGATGTAATGGAATATCTTCAAATCATATAGATAACAAAATTTATATTTAAGGTTGGCAAATACAAATAAACAATCCTTGGACAAAAATACATAACAGATTCTAAAGACAACAAACTATAACTTGTCCGAGGTTGGTCTGACGTATGACGGCCTTTTGTAGGGTAGGACTTGAACCGTGTGATGTCCATGCGCACACTATAAAGAAAACCCTAGCGTAGAGCTGCATGATTTCGTCGTGAAATGATATATTAAACAGGTCATTTTCAATTGGATAAATCATACATTACATGTATTAGATTCCTTATTATATTTTCTCCACAAATATAAACCTTTGATTCACTTACTTTGTCGAGAAGCACATGGATTATTTATGCGTTTTTATATAAGCATTATACGGACTTCTTTAACAGGGGTGCAGTCATGAAAACAAGTGGTTGACTCTTACGAAGTGTTTTAATTTCAACCCACAAAAGCCAATATAGCCGTCAAAGATCTTTAGATACTAGAATAGTGAATATACCAAATGATTTCTATTTTCTTTTATGCAATTTTGACTAAATGTCGATTCGAATGACGGTAGACGCATGCATAGCAGGAATCGCTTACCCTGTCACTCCGTATTGTTTGACCACTATGGAATATCTGTTTCACTGATGACGACGGATATGTTGCAATGGTCGTTACTACAATCCAATCCCCTTTTCCCCGAATGTGACCTACCGAATTATACTTATCACCGGATTTGTACTTACATGAGCAACCCGAGGGGTGCCAAATGTAGAAAAGGATCTTCTTACCCTTCCGGAGCACCTGAGATCACCCCCAGTTTTGATGGGATTCGTGTTGCTCAGTCTTTAGTTTTCTATGTTGTGTTTTGTGTACTGTTATTTTCTCCTATCTTTTCCTAGATTTAGATATTCCAGTATTTCACGGAAAACTCTACACAAAAATTTACAACTAAAGTGACAGTTTGTTCGTCTCGAATTGTTAATTTTCCTTTTTTGGACGGTGATATTCCATTGGCAACATCTTGCAGTGTTTATATATATATAAATATACGAGTTGTATATATATATATATATAAGTCTAAATTGAAAACAACGTTCAAACCTATGATTGCGTTGGATAAAACCGCAATTTTTATACGTGTGCATGCAAAACAAATTTCTTGTTAGAGGGGTCTAAATACAGCACAAACAACATTTTCCAAAATACCAAAAAAGTGAAAAAGTATATTTTAACAAAACGCATTTGACTAACAGGTCGAACAACAAATGTTCTTAAATCCTGCTGACTGCCATTGGCGATTGCCAAATAAACGGATCACAAGGTGTAATAAATGGATCTTAACTTTAAATTTAATACCAAACAGAAAACAATAAACATGCGGCGAAGATGGTATACCGCAAACAAAGGTGCAAATATTTTTTGTACACCATATCCGGATTTCGACAATTAATGTCTCTTCAGTGATGTTAGGAATCAAAACGGTTATTGGAAGGCCACATAATTTACCTCAATTTGGGATAGACTCTTGAATTTTGAGGAGTCAAAATAGGATGAACGGATCATATAAACCCGAAGGCATATATATATATATATATATATATATACAAGTCTAAATTAAAAACAGCGTTCAAACCTATGATTGCGTTGGATAAAAACCGCAATTTTTATACGTGTGCATGCAAAACAAATTTCTTGGTAGAGGGGTCTAAATACAGCACAAACAACATTTTCCAAAAGACCAAAAAAGTGAAAAAGTATATTTTAACAAATGCATTTGACTAACAGGTCGAACAATTGATGTCCTTAAATCCTGCTGACTGCCATCGGCGATTGCAAAATAAAATTGCGGTTTTTATCCAACGCAATCATAGGTATGAACGTTGTTTTCAATTTAGACTTGCTTATATTTTTTCGTTTGGGCTTGTATTATATTTGCCTTCGGGTTTATATCATCCGTGCATCCTATTTCTGCTCTTTCAAAATTCAAGAGTCTATCCTAAATTGAGGTAAATTATATGGCCTTCCAAATACCGTTTCGATTCCTAACATCATTGAAGAGACATTAATTGTCGAAATCCGGATATGGTATACAAAATTTTGCACCTCATGTTTGCGGTATACCATCTTTTCTGCAAGTTTTTTGTTTTCTGTTTGGTAATAAATTAATAATAAGATCCATTTTGTCACATCTTGTGATCCGTTTATTTGGCAATCGCCAATGGCAGCCAGCAGGTTTAAGAACATCAGTTGTTCGACCAGCTAGTCAAATGCGTTTTGTCAAAATATACTTTTTCACTTTTTTGGTCTTTTGGAAAATGTTGTGTGTGCTGTATTTAGACCCCTCTACCAAGAAATTAGTATTGCATGCACACGTATAAAAAATTGCGGTTTTTATCCAACGCAATCATAGGTTTGAACGTTGTTTTCAATTTAGACTTGTTTATATTATTTTGGTTGGGCTTGTATTATATTTGCCTTCGGGTTTATATCATCCGTTCATCCTATCTCGGCTCTTTCAAAATTCAAGAGTCTATCCTAAATTGAGGTAAATTATATAGCCTTCCAAATACCGTTTCGAAATATTTGTCAACACGATTTAATAACAACATCTTCGTATAATACCATCTTATTAGTATCGTTGTGCAAATCTCTAGACATATATATATATATATATATATATCACAACTCGTCCCTATGGACGTGTCTGTTGTAACGTACTGGATTTCAATAAACGTAATCTATGCATTACTGGTAAATTATTAAGTCATGGATTTCGTTAACAAAAATTACTTAAAACCTTCAATTAATTCTTCCTTAGACACAAATATTTGGTTTGGTTTGTTAAACGGGGTAGTACATCATAATTTGTACGGATATATTGTTTACCGAACTCCGAAATTTAGATATGATGCGGGTAAACAAATCGATCCTTTAAATGAACTTATTCTAAAAGGTTATCAATTTAACACTGTAATCAGATATGTGATTATTTTTTTTATTGGTTTAAATATGGATGGTGTTATCAGTAAATCAAGATCAAACTAAATATTATTTGTATATACATATGCACATTCATGACAACAATCTATCGACACCTGTATCTTGACATAGCACAAGGTCATGTATATCTCTGACTGTTGATGAAATCTTTACACTGAATCCGTTAAATGATGATTGTGTACTGATTGATATTTTAGCCTTTGATCAATTGATTTTTTTTTAATTGTTGTTATTGTTTTTGAACTAGCTGTAACAATTAACTGCAAGTAATATCAGATCTGTACTTTTTTTGTGGTGGGGATGTATAAATACCCTGCCACATCTGGTCTGTGTTTTTGTTAGATGAGTAAAATCACAAAAATACCGAACTCCGAGGAAAATTCAAAAAGGAAAGTCCCTAAGCAAATGGCAAAATCAAAAGCTCAAACACATCAAACGAATGGATAACATCTGTCATATTCCTGACTTGGTACAGGCATTTTCTTATGTAGAAAAAGGTAGATTGAACTTGGTTTTAAAGCTAGCTAAACCTCTCACTTGTAAGATGAGTTTTTGCTTTGTATAAATCTGATGAGTTAAATCCTTTAAACTGCTTTTTATAGTTTGTTCTTATGTTGTAATGTTGCCACACTGTACCATGTCAGGAGGATGGTTGGGCGCCAATTAACTAGTTTAAACCCGCCACATTATGTATTTCCCTGTCCTAAGTCAGGAGCCTGTAATTCAGTGGTTGTCGTTTGTTGCTGTATATCATAATTGTTTTCGTTCATTGGTTCGGACAGAAAGCAGGTCGTTAGTTTTCTCGGTTGATATATTTTATATTTGTCAATTTGGGGCCTTTTATGAATGACTTTGCGGTATGGGTTTTACTCATTATTGAAGCCGCACTGTGAACTAAAGTTGTTAACCTCTTTGTCATTTGGTGTCGGGTGGAGAGTTGTCTCATTGGAAATCATACCACATATTCTTATTTTTATATTGAACGTACCAAAGAGATTCCCAGCTGCAGGATTTTTACTTTGTCCTTGCACAAGTTCGTGTCTTCATTGTCTAGGAACGATAAATATTTTTGTCAAAAGTCATTTCGTCTTCAATGAATTTCGCGTAATCATTAAGACTGAAAGTGTACATTAATGTTTGACTTAAGTCTAGGAAAGAGAAATAAAGCATTTTGCCTCTTATCACGTGTATGATAACAATAACACTTTCTGATCCTCCGTGTTTGGCTTGAAACATTAAAGATTTTTTGATATCCAATAAATAAATAGAAAAAATATTTCATCGGTTAAACGTTAAACTTTCACAATACCATTAAATGTAAAGTACAATTTATTATTCTACAAGTCCAAATGGAAAATATGTTTAATGACAAGGAAAGTGTCAACTTTAACCATATACCATAACCTTAACACAGATCCATTAATAAGTCCTTCCTTTAACATTTAATACTTTTTGTTCCTAACTACTTATGCATTCACATTAATGCCCATAAACTCTTATTTTTTTTTTACAGTTGCTTCAAATGTTCGTTTACTGTCTCCTAACCGTCATAGAAGACATATACATTTAACTATAGAATACATTTAACTAAAAAACAAAACTAACGAGGTTCTTGACAATGAGTTTGGGCCAATATTACCTGTTTAATATGCTTCACTTCCAAGGTCAAACATTTAAATTGTTAAATTCTACTTTAATTGAAATATTATTGAGTCTAAATCAAAAACATAATGAAGATCGAGGGTCGTGTGACATCTTGGATATAAAAATAGCAGAACACATTTGTCTAGAATTCTAGTGAAATATGCAAATTGGGAGACAAACATCATTTCCGTTTATACGACTTGACATTATCTGTTTATACAAATACTGAACACTTTAGTTTGGTGTATAGAACCACTAGTTCTGGCCCGGTCGGAAAGAACAAACAAGAAAGTAATACATTATTTTAAACTAAACAGTTCCTACCCATAGCTGTATCTTTGTCAATAGGTGCAATATTGGGGTAGTTTCGGTATCAAATGACAGCGTGAGGACCTGGGGTCACTGTAGAACCCTTATTAAAAGTTTCTTTTGAATAATAAAAAAGTATATGAAATTATAATAGGAGGGCACATTCACCCTGCTGTTCAGATCGGAAGTACCTGTTTTTTGTAACCCTAACCCAATTTTTTAACATTATGGCAAACTATCACGAAAATCACTTTCACTACTAAATTCCAGACAGACAAGGACATATCTCAAATACAGTGTTTTTTTTCTAAAAAGATCCTGACCCATTAACACTTTAACCTTTTTCATAAAACTTCTCTTATCTGAAAAACCGATTTGAATTCGGTGTACATGATTTGTATATCAGTTAAAATAATGTAGCATTTGAGATTTCAATTTAGTACAATAATAACAACATTGTAGGTGCGAGAGAAATATAATCGAAGCAGCTGCAAACGGAGCATTAGATACTATCTATATAATTGCTAGCATTATGGTGAATTTGATTGCATTTCTATCTATTTTGGAATTGGTAAATTTAACACTGAAATGGTTCGGGGAGAGAAATGGTTTAGAACCTCCATATATAGATGATACATTGACCTTTCAGGTAATATCTAGTTTAAACATATTTTATGGTTCAGAAACTAAACAAATGGATGTGACACAAGTTTAACAACTTAATAATGTCTTCTCCAGTACATACACAATTTACAAATAAATGAACATTAAAAGAAATATACAATATATATATACATATACTTTTTTATAACGTATGAAGACGTTGAAAATGAAGTGGAAATTATTTCTGGTATATAAAACACTGCGAGTCGATGATTTTACACAACTAATAGAACGCACCTTTTGATCATTTGGTGTTCTACTTAGTACATCTAACACGTATATAAATATACCATACATAACGCATAAATTAGTGTATCGTTGTGCATGGCATAGAAGGTTAATGTACTACAAGTTTTGAAAAAAGGATTTATACACATAGTTCTAGACTGTAAGTACAGTCTATGTGTTTAATAGCTATTATAAAAGTACTTAGGCTACAAAGTTTACAATTATTTTATCGACTCGCAAAGTTTATTTCGCTAAACAAAGGTGACAGATATGACCATGCTATAAGTATGTGTACTTATTATCATTACAATTACAATGATTTGTTATGCGAAGGAAAACGTCCAGTCTCTTTTATATATCTATGAACATTCAAAAAAATTGCAGTATTTATTTCGGTGGTAAGGAGTTCGTTACCATATAATAAAATATCAGTATTTAGTTGTAAATCGCTTAAGTCTAACACTGTTAGCTCTCCAAATAAAGTATTTCTATGTAAAGTATATCTGTAACAATCAAACAAATAGTGGCCTACACTTTCATTTCTATGACCACATAAACATGATGGATCAGGAACCAAATTACAATGAAATAAATCACCATTTAAGGAACTACACTTATTTCTTAATTTTGTGTGAAGAACGTTCATATACCGATCTCCACAGTAAAAATAATTCGGCTTCTTCTTTAACTGAAAGTACTTTTGTTGCAATTTGAGTTTGAAGTTTGAGAGTTGGAAGTTGGCGCAAGCTCAAATCCAAAGAATTCCATAATTTAACTGTAGCTGGAAAAAAGATTGTTGATATATGGTTAACCTACTAGCTGGTTGTGTAATATTTTGTCTATTACGCAAATTATATGAACTAGTTTCAGCGACTGTTGGTGGCACTAGCTCCGTTAAATAGTCTGGTGTCTGATTATTTACAATTTTATAAAATAATGTTAATTTTTTCACTTCCCTTCTTGTTTTTAATTTTTCCCACCCAGTCTCAATATAAATCGAATTAATACTGGCAAATGACGGAAGTCTTGTGATTATTCGGGCAGCTTCAAGTTGGACCCTTTCCAATCTATCAGAGTTCATTTGCCCACAATTATCCCAAACTTCAGAGGCATATTCTAGTACAGGCCTTATAAACGTAAGGTAATTTTTTTCTAGATAATTCCTCTTTATTTTATATTTTAGTTTCCTAAGTACATTCAGTTGTTTTGAAACTGATTCTATTAATTTATCAATGTGATAAGTCCACCCACAGTTGCTACTAAACACAACTCCCAAATGCCTATGAAGATTTACTGGATGAAGTGTTGTTTGGTCAAATTCAAACGACAAATTACAACCAGTGCCCTGCCATTAAAGACCATAATGTCAGTCTTGTTTGGGTTAAATTTTATCATCAATCTGTCAGACCATTCCTTCAAATGAGTCAAATCAGAGTTAATATTGTTCTGCAAAGAAATTTCGTTTGACGCTACATGACCTATCGATGTGTCATCAGCAAATAATCGTCCGAAACCTATAATATCATCTGTGATATCGTTTATAAAAATAAGAAATAATATAGGCCCCAAAACTAATCCTTGAGGCACACCTGCTTACAATTTACCAGCATTAGATAACGCATCTTTAACCATAACTCTCTGAGTACGATAAGCAAGGTAACTTCAAAGCCAACTTAAGAGATCACCCTTGATACCATACTTTTCAAGCTTAAGCAAAAGAGCCCTTATCCATACGGTATCAAACGCTTTGCTGATATCAGAAAAAGTCATACTGGTTACTAATTTAGATTCCAAAGCAAGTAAACTTATATTATACAATTCTATCAGCTGATGGGTTGTAGAAAATCTTGGTATAAATCCAGATTGAAACTTATATAACAACACATTTTCTTGTAAATGATTAAAAATGTGTTTGAATATAATTTTCTCCAGTATCTTACTCACACAAGAGAGCAATGAAACTGGTTTATAATTTGATGGTAAAGATTTATCCCCACTTTTGAACAGAAGAATGACATGTGCCAATTTCCAGTTTGTTGGAAAAACTCTCTCTTGTATAGACTTGTTAAACAACATACATAAAGGCTTTGATATCACGTTCTTCACTGAAATCAACATTTTATTACTGATGATATCTGGACCAACAGCTTTTTTGCGTTTAGAGTAGATATTATATCCAAAACATCTTGTTCTGTTACAACTATCTCTGATAAAACAATATAACATATGTCTGGAAAATCTGGTAAATCAATATTTTCATCATAAACAGTTGAAATCGAACAGAGATATTTGTTTAAATTATCTGCTTTATCAATGACGTCATATTGAAAGGTTAAAACCATCGAAAGGGTCTCTAAGGGGTGGTAACTCATTCGAAGAACGATCGTCCTTTAAAAGCATATGTATCGTTTTCCAATACATTTTACTGTTAGTGGTTTTTAACTCATCAAGATTTTCGTTAATGTTCTCGTAAAATTGTTTTTTTGCTTGTTTCTTTATATTATTTACTCTATTCCGTTGATTCTTAAATCTGATTTCCGCAGTTTCCGTTTTGGTCCGTAAGAACACCTTTCGTAATCTGTCCCGTTTTCGCGATTCACGACGTAAAGTGGAATCATACCAGACTTTGTCGTCACTACGAATTGTTACCTCGATACTAGGAATACATTTTTTTGCAATATCTAAAAATGTACTTGTAAAATTAGAACACGCTGTATTTACATCTTCAGTCTCAATTATAAGTCTATACCAGTTTGTTTGGTTTTTTTTTTGTTGCATAAGTATGTAATCCCCCCTTTTAAAATTCCACACAGAACGTTGGAATGATCTCTCTTGATTAAAGCCACAGTCTAAGCTTATAAACGTTCCGTTGTAATCACTCACGTGTCTATCAATAGGTATTGTATCGCAATCTATAACAGGAATATAATCCGTAAATAACATCGGATCCAAATGTGACATGTTACCCGTATGACTGTCAAAGTGAGTGGGTTTGGTGACCACATTTACTAGTCCACTGATAGCAAAAATATCTTTCAAATTTTGTGGCAGTGTTTGTAGGAAATTTTTTTTTTAGATCTCCCCAAGCAAATAGTATTGTTGTTCTCGTCTTGGGCCTTTTTCAACATCTGTTCAAAAAATTGTCAATAATTGCTATGAGACTGTCTCTCCGACCTGTAATTTATATTGATTAATATAGACTGTAGTTTGGTTTTCATTTCAAACCACATAATTTCCACATTTTCATGTTCTAGGTCTTGTAAAACATCAATATCCCATCACCACGTGCATTCCTATCCTTTCTGACAGTAGACTCAAAACCTTCTATACGTATGTCAGAATCTAATATTTGTCCATCAATGTGACTTTCGGTGAAAAATATGACATCAAAGACCTGAACAATGTTGACAATATAATCAATCTTATTTCTAATACTCCTTATATTCACATGACAAATAGACAAACTAGTATCATGCGGATCAGATGCGCCCCCGGGACCCGGATTAGTATTTATATCACCAGCTAATAACAATAGGCCAACCAAAAGCAACATAAAGGAAGAAAAGGAATATGCAGATTTGAGCCTGGACAACGCACTGTTCAATATATTACAAACATGCTAACATAACTTTTGCAAAGTTTTGTTAACAGTTAATTTATAATTATGAACATATAAATGATAACTCAAGTCAACACAGAAGTGCTGAATACTGGGCAGGTGATACCCTTGGGGAATTAAAACTCCACCAGCAGTGGCATCGACCCAGTGGTTGTAAATAAACTCATCATAGATACCAGAATTGAAATTTAATATTTACGCCAGACGCGCATTTTGTCTACAAAAGACTCATCAGTGACGCTCGTATAAAAAAATGTTAAAAAGGCCAAATAAAGTACGAAGTTGAAGAGCATTGAGGACCAAAAATTCCTAAAAGTTTGCCAAATACAGCTAAGGTAATCTATTCCTGAGGTAGAAAAGCCTTAGTATTTCAAAAATTCAAACAGTTAATTTATAATTATGAACATATTAATGATAACTCAAGTCAACACAGAAGTGCTGAATACTGGGCTGGTGATACCCTCGGGGAAATAAAACTCCACCAGCAGGGGTGACCCAGTGGTTGTAAATGAATTCATCATAGATACCAGGATTGAAATTGTATATTTGCGTTTCGTCTACAAAAGACTCATCAACGACGCTAGATTCAAAAAATGTTAAAAAGGCAAAATAAAGTACGAAGTTGAAGAGCATTGAGGACCAAAAATTCCTAAAAGTTTTGCCAAATACAGCTAAGGTAATCTATTCCTGAGGTAGAAAAGCCTTAGTATTTCAAAAATTCAAAGTTTTGTTAACAGTTAATTTATAATTATGAACATATCAATGATTGTTTGTGTTTAAGTTTTCTAAATGTGGTTTAATTTTATCATCAACAATTTTGAATAAAATGGGTGTTATTGATTCTATGACTCTCTGGCTTATCAAGGGAATAATCTGGTCAATGAAATTAGAGTTTTTAAGTGTTGCACATACTACATCTGAAAGTTGGATAACAGTATCATTTTGTGCCTCTGAAAACAAGATCTGATGTTCCATTTAGAGAAGTAGTTTGTAACCCAGGAACAATGGCAGTTGATTCATTAGGTTGATCATTCAAAGTTTTTGTAAAGCCAGAAGAATTCACAGTTTTGGCTTACTTCTGTGCTTGCAACAAGGATGGCGAAATGTTATCAGGACTGAAAGGTTCTGATCGCTTGTTGGATTTGTTATTACCTGGTGTTTGAGTGAGAAACTTCTGAATCGACTCTTGTTTATTGTCCGACGCCATTTTGGTTTTGTTCACACAGAAAGTTATTATTGACGAATACAAAAAGTCACAGACAGTCACTTATATTTCCAAAAATATTATCCAAACCACTCAAATGTATCACACAAATAGAATGTTATAGCTCTAGACAAGCAAAAGCATTAATATTGAACATAAATATACATATTTCGAAATTTTGTTCTCCTCGAGAACTTCCTACGCCTTCATACTCAAGGGCACATAACTCAATTCGCTATTAAATAAAATCGTTATTTTAAGCTAAACAAGTTCCAAATTGTTATGATATCTTGTAAACTGTTTTTTTAAACGTATATTTGTATTTTGATGAACATGATGACCAGTTAACATTAAAAAGGTCAACTACCGTAGCAAGCAAACATATTCTTCCCTTAGTTTATTTATTTTGTATTTACATTGTATCATGGGTCAAATTTATTTGTTCAGTGTATGTTCAATGGTGTTAATATGTCCTTTGATTGAGTTAAGCTATTTCAGTTGATATTTTTTAGTGTGTCTTTCTATGTTGTGATGTTACACTTTTGTTTCAGAAAAAGGGTGAAGGTTTGGTACCATTAAAACGTTTAAACCCGCTGCATTTGTTTGCACCTGTCCTAAGTCAGGAATCTGATGTTCAGTAGTTGTCGTTTGTTGATGTGGTTCATAAGTGTTTCTCGTTTCTCGTTTTTTATATAGATTAGACCGTTGGTTTCCCCGTTTGAATGGTTTTACACTAGTAATTTTTGGGGCCCTTTATAGCTTACTGTTCGGTGTGAGCCAAGGCTCCGTGTTGAAGACCGTACTGTGACCTATAATGGTTTACTTTTATAAATTTTGACTTGGATGGAGAGTTGTCTCATTGGCACTCATACCACATCTTCTTATATCTATATATGTTCAAAATGGAGATTTGTTAAGCAACATGTGTGTGATATATATTCAGCAACGTGTAGATACAATCTGAAAGTCGTCAAAAGATGAGAAATATTCATGAACTGTGATTAGATAAACAAAGAATAAGTTGTCCGTAGCTATAGTTATTTTTGTATCTAGGAACCTTATGTCATTGGCATATCTTCTAAAACGCAGCATATTGTCAATTTATAGAGGCTAGAATTACGCAGGACTACAATTACGCAAAATAATAACTTTTTATAATTAACATGTTAGTGACGCATCAACACTCAAAATTTCATTTAGTGAACATTTTGAACTGTGCTCCGGAATGCGAGCTCAATATGTTAATGTTTTCCCGCTTTATCAATTGTAGATGGTACAACGGAACCAAAATGAACGCACAAAGAATTCCATCCAAAGCTAAATTCTTTAAAATTAAGAAGAAATTAGATCCCCCAAAACGAGTACATATGACGTCACTGAACTGCAAAACATGTCTAGTTACTAAAGAGCGAAAAAAAAAAAAAAACGAAAAGAGAAAACCGCACAAACGTGTCCGTATGAGCCCAAAACTTATCGTTTATGAACGCGTGCATATTTTAATAACACCAAAACCTGTGAAATAGTGCTTCGTAATCACATATATTGTTTTAATACAAATCCAATCGCTATTATTACAGGAACCTTAGTTTTGTTTTGTTGCTGTAAAAATGCGACAGTAACTCTGTAAATGCCTAGATACCACTTCTGTAGGAAGCAATGCCCTCATATTATATTAAGATAGTGAGACATCGGAGTATTTTAGTACAAACGAATTCACTTAGTAAACGATGAATTTTACTGTACTAGACTAATACATTGCAATTTTTATGTTCGCTCTAAATATGCATGACATATCTGTCACTGGATATTAAGCAATCAACAGTCAAGAGTTTGTTTATGTGTTGCAAATCAACTTGGAGGCATGTTAAATATGGGAAAACTTTTAAATTTCTGAAGTATGAAGTACCTTCATGTAAAATTTAAAACAATAATAATCATATTGATAAAAAATATTTAAACCACTGCAAGTAAAAATAAATTTTGCCATTCTTCTTCTTATCTGGTGTCTGTTTATTTGAAAGAAGAAGCCAGTGATTTTATATTTCACTTTAGATAATGTACCATGTCTTTGACATTTGTCTATACGCACCAATACATCTTTCCTGCAGATGTCCTTTGGTCTTTTTTTTAGAATCTTGCAACCCAAACCCGTAGTCTTCAATCGTGTCCCCCATCATTGAAATGCCGTTAACGTTATTGACGTCACTGAAGACATATTATCGCTAAACGTTTTGAGACGTTCTGGCGTTTTAAAGTAGACACGTTTTGGCAAATAACAATTATCGAACACTTTTGGGGGATGTGATATCGGACACGTTTGGGCGATTATGGAATTTTAAGGACATGTTAAGGTGAAATAGACATGTTTGGGGCTATCGGACACGTTAGGAGGGAAGGTTACGTTTGAGAGTGTTACATATATGTTTGTAATAACCGACATTCTAATTATGTCCCTTTTAGCGGGATGGCCTCCCCTGTTGCTAGCCTATTCAAACTACTATTACATTACATTGCCGATGACAACGTCAATCTTTTTTACAATCAGCTATGCATATCTCCTACGAGTGAAATCACTTGGAGAAATATTGTGAAAGTGACTTTTTATGATCTATTTGTTTATTTGAATACTATTTAAGGGCATTTTCATCTTTTCTTTTTTATATATACATGGGTCTAAAAAAGTATACAAAACAATAAGAACAAATATGAAATAAACAAACTTCAATAAATACATCGGAATACATATATCCTTCATCAGTATGAGCAGATTGGTGTACAATGGCGTCACTAGCTATGGCAATTTGAAGAAAAAAAAAACAACACAGAACATCGTTTATAGAAAAGTTAAAGTTACAGTTCATTATCTTGAACGGCATACAAATTAGTTAAAAACAAAAGATGTAAAGTTTAGAGTTTTAGCATTCAATCATCTTTAGGTTTTTGTTTCAGTTCATCTGTTCCTACGTCTTTTATCCATTGGCATTCGTATTAGGTGTTGATCCCATCGATTGTAGAAGAGTTGCAGAACTTATTGGGATCAAAATTTTTGTGAACGAGTTTATAGCATACCAATCGTTATCAGTTTACATAGATAACCGAAAGAATTTAACATGGTACGAAAATGTGTTTAATTCAACACTGAACAGCACATGGCATTCCAATGGGAATGACATAGTATATGATAACTTAAACATCACTTTAGAAAATGGAATTCTTCAAGTAAGTAAAATATTTCATACTATTCTGTTTTTTTTTCTCCTGTTCCATTGATTGTTTTAAAATCATCATATTATTAAAAGACATTTCTAAAAGTTGATATTAAATATTTTTCTAATTTTAACTAGCTTTTTTAAGGAAACCATGATGTTGTTATTTGTTTGGATGGACACATGTGGTTTTACATTTGGTTATTTTCTTATTTTGTAATAAGGAACACAGCGATAGCGACAGTTGGTTAAACTAGAGAATATGTAAAAGGAAACTGATTCTTAAATGATAATTGATAATCATTTACAACTCTACTACGTCTTATACGTCTTATAAAATCTCGGTCTAGGTATAAATTGCACATTTTTTTCTTTTAAGGATAAATCCGTTGTTATATCTACGTATGCATTGTGTGGATTTGCCAACCTCTCTTCAATTGGATTGACACTGGGAGGATTAGGAGCAATTGCCCCTTCTAGAAAAGGTGATTTGACACAGGTTGTATTGAGGGCGATGATAGCTGGCAATATTGCTTGTTTTATGACAGCTTGCATATCAGGTAATTATTATAGTTATTGTGAAAAAAAACAATGATTAAGCTTAAACATATCGAAAACTGAATGAGTCATATATATCTTAAATTAAAGTGACACTTACATTGCTAAAATGATGTACTAGAAATAATTGAGGTCAATACAGGAAACCATTGAACCTTCGTTCTTGATTACATACTCATGAAACTATTGAAACAGCTTCGATTCTACGTTCCGTTCACTTTTAAATCAAAATTATGATACAATTGAAGGTTTTTTATTCTCATCATTCTTTGTTTGTTCTTTTAGTAGGTTATATTTTGTATGTCAAACTAATGTGTGTTTAAAGCACTATCTTTTAAACCACAATTTATCGAATTCCGTTCAAAAGTTAATCACATTAAGTATAGTTAATTTATGAATTATATGGTTTCAAAGATTACATGTTATGTTGTCTAATGACCCGATAAATGATATCGTTAAAACATTTATAATAATCAAGAGGTTGAGTTAACGACAAAGTAATTTACAATAACGAAACATCGCGGTACGATGCCGTGAAATAACGAAACAATAGGTAAAAATGATGACAAAGCATGTAGAAACAGGGATATTTCAACGTTAAAATATTGAGTATATTTTCTTTTGATGAGGTTGCTCGCGGTTTTCGATTTTCAGACACCAGAATATTATGTTATATAGATACAATGGATAAGCGTGGATTCTTGAAAAAGAAACCATGAGCCCGGAGGGCGAATGGTTTGTTTTTCATGAATCTACGCTTATCCATTGTATCTATAACTTAAACTATTGTGTTAATTTCTTTTCAAAATTAAAGCCTTTTCTTAATTAGAAGGTATTGTAAGTGAGTTTAAATAACCATGTTACCATGTCCAACGATGCATTGAATGATAAATCTTAGATCACAATTAATTGGTTAAAAAAATACAAATATAACACAACGTTTCTACATTTAAAGATCTTTATATAATCAGGCATCTGAATATTATCTGTTTTTATAAATTAAGACATATCTTATAAAACTGAGGATGGAAATTGGGAATGTGTCAATTAAAGAGACAACAACCCGACCAAAGAGCATATATAAAGTATACATAATAAGTATGTTACCGAAATTTCTAGCAAGAAGCCCTAATTTTAGGCACATCACGATTTTCTCGCATAGGAATTTGCTAACAAATATTTGTAAAATTATGTAGTAAAGCAGATGAAATCATACTATATTTATAAAACAAAAATGGACAAATAGAATGTAATCATTTTCTTTTCAAATATGTGAAACAGCCAATAAAAGTCCACAAATAAACGGTAAAACTCGCTATTGTTACAAAAATATCCACAATAACATACAAAACAAGAAAAGAAAAAAACAACAGGAAAACTAAAGAATAGGGACAACAAAGAGAATACAGGGATTCGAACCTAAGCCGACAAGTCCCTATCTTTAACTCATTGATCTTAACCATGCTAACCTCGCGGCTACCAACTTATACAATACGATTTCCTATTATGTATATATAAAGGTACAAGCCCTGTGAGTCCTTTGTACAGATGTATATTATATGTTCATTTATATATATATAATAGAGATTTAAATTGTAACCCATCGGTAGCCGAGAGGTTTCGTCGATATGTTGATGACAGTCATACATAACAGATTTTAAGGACGCGTTCGATTCCCAGTGTAGGCATATAGAAACTACAAAAATTAAAGGTAAGTTTTTAAATTAATTCCATTAGTGAATAAAAATCAGTAAATTAGCCCATTCAAACTTAATGAAATTAGGCACACAAAGGAAACAATTGAATATAATTTGGTGAGTCCATTTCAGCGACAGATTAAGGAAGCGTTGATTCTAGAAAAAGAATCCACGGTAAATGAATAGGCTGACGTCACGACAATGGTTTAATTTAAATTAATCGATGGAGTCTAATTACTTTTTGTGATATTTTGATTAAATATGTATTCTCATGACGGCTAACGCTTAACCTTTATCGATATGTATCAATATAGCCTCTTCTCTATCAAACACTATCCTTTTTTGAAAATAAGACGTAGATGTAAGCTAATATAGGCAACTGTACGTTGTTCAAATATGTGAAAAACCATAAAGTAAGCCACATATGACAAGACAAAATGTAAAAGGGAAGGAACGGAGTTAGGAACAAAATAATAGACGAAAAACAAGGAGACAGACAGCAACCAACAACAATCACTGAATAACAGGCTCCTGAAATTGGAAAGGCATATTCATAATATGGCGGGATTAAACATGTTAGCTAACGCTCAACCCTCCCAATATCTTGGCATAGGGGCGTATCAGCACAGCATAAAAACAAACTACATGTATACAAATCCGTTGACAAAGGCACTAATTGGTAATTATCTCATTGGCATCAGATTGATACAAAGCACCAAGAAATTTTAAAGTGTCTAAAGACAAAAAGTTCTGATCAAAGAGTACTCACAGTAACTGAATTTAGAAAATATAACTAATTTATCAACAATTAATCAAAGATTTTATTAAAACGAAAAGTTAGATTAAAATCTTGTTTTGGGCGGAGATTTTAGTTTGATACTAAATCCATCTTTAGACAAAATGGGTGGTTCAAAATATAATACACCTGTCAAATATACGAGTAACTCGGGTTTACTGACAGATAAAGATTATGTGAAAATAGTTAAAAATACTTTATCAGAATGTGATAATAAATATCAAAATTTAGAAAATAAAATTTTGAAATGGGACACCATTAGTATTGTATGTTTTTTAATTTTAGTTCATTTATTTGTTTTGGAGTTTAGCGTGACGTCCATTTTCACTGAACTAGTACACAATTTTATTTAGGGGCCAGCTGAGGACCACCTCCGGGTGCGGGATTTTCTCGCTACGTTAAAGACCCATTGGTGGCCTTCGGCTGTTGTCTGCTCTTTGGTCGGGTTGTTGCCTCTTTGACATATTACTTATTTCCATTCTCAATTTTATACCATAAAAAGTGTAATAAGAGGCGCAACCGTCAGATATTCTAAGTATAAAAACATGAAATTACGAGAAAGAGAGTCCAATTTAAAAAACACGAAAAGACGAAATTCAGAAAACTCTCTCTCGTACATATTTAGATAAAGATATAAATACATTTTTGATTGAATTCGATATTGGTCAGGAGGATTTAGAGCAAATAGTAAACAATCAATCAAGGTGGGGGGGGGGGGGGGGGATGGGTGGGGGGGTTTGGGGGGGGGGGGCTATTATACGATCAAATTCAAAATATTTCTTGTCATTAGAAAAACGCATTTATAAAAATAAATGTACCAACAATTTAGTTGTAAACGACATTGAAATTATGTCACAAGAAAAAATTCTAAACGAAGAGAGAAATTTCTATCTAAAACTATACTTATCAGAAGAAAACCCTGATAAATATTCGGGTGATTCAAATTTTTTTTAATTTGGATCTTATTCCTAAGCTTACAGATGTGGAAAAAGATATATGTGATGCAGATATTCCAGGATCTGAGTGCGTTAAAGTCTTGAAAATATTTAAAAATAACAAAAGCCCTGGTATAGACGAGCTAACTGCTGAGTTTTACACATTTTTCTGGATTGACATAAACAAATATGTTTTAGAAAGCAATGAATATTCCTTCGAAACCGGAACCCTCTTAATAGACCAAAGACGGGGTATTCTGTCTCTTATCCAAAAGAAAGATAAAGACAGAACACTCTTGTCGAACTGATGTCCTCTTTCTCTCTTAAATTTTGATTACAAATTATTAGACGAGGTTACAGCCCTTGGATGGTGTAAACGTCCCCAAAAAACGTGTATGGTGTAATGGTGTATGGCATATGGTGCAATGGTAGAAGGTGTATGGTGCTATGGTGTATGGTGTAAGGGGAATGGTGTAATGGTGTAACGTGCGATCGGGAATGGTGTGAACGAATGATGTACGACATTTAAAACTATGCAAAATATTGATAAGAACCAAAGGTGTAACGTGTATGGTGTAATGGCACAGGGTGTATGGTGTAATGGTGTATGCTGAATGGTGTAATGGTGTATGGTGTTAGTGGGAAGTTTACACCATCCATGGATTGTATTGCGGAAAGAATGAAATTATTTCTTCAAAAAACTTATAGATCTGGATTAGACGGGATATGTGGCTGGTACATATATTGGTGAAAATCTACAACTCATTGCTGATATCATATTGTTTACTATATTAAAGAATTATCCAGGTCTTATATTACTAGTCGCTTTTGAAAAGGCGTTTGATACACTAGAATGGAAATTTGTTTAAAAAGCATTGGATTGTTTTAATTTTGGTAACAAGTTTCGGAAATGGGTCTTAATTTCATACTCAAACATATCTAGTCTTGTCGTTAATAACGGATTTAGTTCTATTCCATTCAAAATTGAAAGAGGTGTTCGACAAGGGTGTACTTTGTCTCCATTTTTATTTAGTTTGGCCGTGGAACTGCTGGCAATAAGTATTCGTAAGAACAAACAGATATCTGGTATAAAAATTGGTGACACTGAAATAAAAATTTCACAGTTGGCTGATGATACCACTTGTTTTCTGAAAGATGTATTTTCTGCGCAAATTTTATTAGATTCCTTTAACGATTTTGAGAAGTGTTCAAGGTTAAAAGTTTATTTTTCTAAAACCAAAGCAACATGGATAGGAAGAAATAATCTTAACAAAGAAGGTTCCCTTCCCATTAAATGGACAGATAGTTTTAAAACCTTAGGTTCACAATCTAATGCCTTTGAAGAAATGGTTAGTTCTAATTTAGATACATGCATAGAAAAAATGGAATCAATAAATAAAATGTGGAAGATCAGAAACCTTTCCTTGATCGGTAAAATTGATTTCTGTCAGTACAGGACTCCAAATGGTAACATGTTTCCAGAGCAGTCTTCCCTCTTTTTGATTTACAGGCTTCACTTATGAGCAGATGTCAATTTGAGTTTTTAAATTTAAAAGCACCTGGTTTTTTTTTTTATAAAAAAGTGCTATCTGCTTGGAAACGTTTCAAG